GAATTGAGAATGTAATATTAAAATTGTTTGTATTAGGTTTTGTTCACTGGCCTCATCATCATGCCCAGCGTTTTTGACCGGGAAAAGGTAATTGTAACGTACACAATGGCATTTTTTTAACCAGTGTTTTTTATTTAAATGTAGATGTTTAAATAATACTAGTTTTTACGGATTTTATCGCGTATATTTAATTTTTAAATCAAAAAAGTCAAAAAACATCTTAATTTCAATAGAGAAGACGGTTGTGTGCTACCATTTGCTTGGGATCGTATAATTAATAAAAATAAATCCCTACCCAAGCATACAACTGCAAGACTTCAAGATACCATAAGTTTATACTGGGTAGATCGGAACAAAAATTAATAATTCAAAAACTTAAATATATGCGATAAAATCCGTAAAAAGTAGTATTATTTAAGTGTATAATGTTCGCGTAAATTTAATGTTGTGCGCTTAAGACGTCTGGCACTAGCGCCATCTAGTGTCGGGTAACAGAGCGAGGAGAGCTTTCCAGAAAATGACATGACTAATCTTTCAACCAACAGCGCCATCTAGTATCGAATTGAAGAACTAAGCTTTATAGAAGCCCCCACACTTTAACTCTGGTCAGCGCCCGTATTTACGGGAATATTCTGGATGTTTCGGTGTAAACGTGTATTTAAACCCGCTGCATGCCACGATAGGGGCAGTATTGAATTTGGCGAGACAAGCGTTGCTTCGTAGCGAAATAAAGTGAATCATTGTGATTCATTATTAGTGTTTTAAGTTTTAATTGGTGTAAAGAAAATTAAAGTGTAAATTTTGGTAATTCAATCGGCAGTTTTTATTGTGACGAACCTGAAGCTCGTAGCAATAAGAAGTCATAAATGTAGATGCTTTCGAGTAGTATATACAGATCTATTTTATAAAATTGTGTTAATGCATGTATAAAAATATATTTTGTGAATATACATTTTGATGCTTACTTATATTAATTATATTATGTGTATTATAATATTGAAGTTGCATTTATCTCGCCGGTTGTTTCTATTTTATAAGGGTATTCCCTTAATAACGCTTAAAAATTGCATTTAAATTAAAAGCTTAGTATCCGTTGAATTTTAACTTTATATATACATAAATTTGAAACAAGCAAAAAACAGTATATTGAGATAATAAGAGCCATGGCAGCTCCGAGGCTAAGAGTTAATTATAAATTTCATTACATAGTACATGAGCGGTAGTGAAGGAAAACATCGTGAGAAAAGTTAAAATCTGAAAAGTGAGAAAAATATTTTCAAGACATGAAGTTCGCCAACACGCATTGGGGCAGCGCGGCGGACAGTTCCTTGTCCTAAAGCCCTTTGAGAAATGAGAGATGTTCTGTACCCAGCAGTGGGACGGATATAAGCTGTGTTTAAACAGCATACCGCCGCCAGCCTAGTATGACGAGTATGGACAAATAGTTTAATCATTATAATCATTAAATCCTAATAACGATATTATCAGCTACCTTCTTACTTAGATTGAAGAGCACCTCCCGCCCTCCCTCAATAGCGTGCACCAATCCCGTCACCACCAATCCCAGCACTACTACTCCCAACACCACTACTCCCAACACCACTACTCCCAACACCACTACTCCCAACGCCACTACTCCCAACGCCACTACTCCCAACACCACTATTCCAGGAAAGACACACCACAGGCACATCATTGTATTTAATTGAGCGGATGGTTGCAACGTAACCATTAATATCTTTATTGTATGAAACTGTCATCCTTGCTATACACCAGTTTCATAAACTAATATTTTTCCTTATTTTCATAATTTTACAGATTGAATATTGTTTCGGTTTAACAGAGGAAAGAAGTTAGTAAGCATGACAATCTATCGCTAACAAGACTGTCTCATACCGCCAGAACTACTTGTTTAAATCAAACTCATGTTGAATCATGCTGAAGATCACCATATCGCAGCTGTTGAAGTAAGGAACATGTCGTGCCGCCCCGCATTTGAAGACTGTGGGTGAGCATAATATAGGGTCTTAAGACTATGCAATTACCTTCTGGTCCTTTGTTTATGTATCTATTTAACTTGAAACATCTTCTACCGGGGTTCTGAGCTATCCTAGGAAGCTATCTAACAGCCTCATCGCGTGGTTATCTCATGGGTCCTACCGCATATACCAGTTCTTTTATCACATCCCACACACCATTTCTGGTGTTTTTCTTGAACCGATGAATCTTAGAAAATATGTGGTTTCGAGTCGCACTTTTCAATCACTTTTTTGGCCGATTTAGATGTCCTATCATTATTTTTACTTCATACTTCGAGCCTTATAAGGTTAAGATGATGATGTGAAGCATTTGGCTAATTTAAATTTATAATAAATTTAGATCTCTTAACTTAAAATCCTTATTGTGTGTCATTTCCTACATAAATGTTTACCTGTAGCGGTAAGATAATTATAAGTTTAATCATGAATTAAACTATTGAACTGCTTCATTTTATAATATTGTATTGAGTATTTGTTTTAAACAGATTTTTTTATTAAAAAATTTCGCAGTTTTCATTATGAGAAATAACTGGAATATTCCCTGTAATATTTTTATTTTGTTGAGCGTAAATTTGATAGCATTTGAATGAACACTTTTGGCAACAACAAGAGTGCATTCAAATGTTAGAATAAATGCAAATTGATAAATTATTATTTCATTTTAATTCACTTCGGTTAAAATCCCTCTTACATTTCGGCGTTACGCAAATTTAGGTATTTGCACCCCAAGCGGGTGATGACCTACGTGAGAAACACTTTATTTTATATCTTTTTAATCGCTCGCACTACGGTACTGCGAGAATAGCGACTAAATGATCTTGATATTTCATTATACAAGTTTTCTTAGGATGGAGTTAAGTGGATGGAAAATTTTTGGTGTGTCATTTTTATGTTGTCATATCAATTTATTACAATCTATTGGATATATTTTTATGAACCTTATTGTTGAAATAAGTACACGGAAATATAATAATTGTTTCACAGTAATCGATTTTTAACCGATGTTGGTTAGTCATGTATTATATCTACTAACGGTAGCATTGCGGTATAAATAAATTAATAGTATGTATGCAACCTGTTTAAATAAATAAAATAACCAACTGTAACTTAAATTTTTAAATCGGTACTAACAGTCAATTACCGTATTTTTTATTATAAAAATATTTGCCGCAACGGCATTGACTGAGCTTATCTCGAGTCAATAATTTCAGGCAGTACACACTTTTTATAAAACGCTTGTAACTCGGCTAACATATTCAAAATCCAAAATTTGTCGTATTTGCAGATTTTTAGTACTTTTACTGCATAATCTGGGCCAGTCCATATGGCAAGCATGCAGACATATTTGTTCTCCATTATTTTTTCTCCAGAGATAGGATATTTCTTTTTTTACGTTTAGTGTTACATTGATACTTATATTTATTTTTCCCTATTCGAAATGGTAAGAAAGCTCAGCTACAATTAATTTAACCCGCCGGTACTCGCGTCTCATTTTGTGACATAAGCTGTCGCGTGAGGGTCTAAAAGACCCCAAAGTTAAATGCATTATCCAATAAAGGAAACTATATTTTTTTATATAAACGTAAAAGAAAGGGGTAACTAAAACAATAGTGAGTCACAAATATTTATATATTTTGATTTATTTTTTATTTTTATCACAATAGCAAAGAGTTAAGTGCTAAATTTTACTTTTTTATGCATAGGAACCAGAATCACAGTCTAACTTTTTTATTCTAGTATAACTGAAAATAAAACATTATTCTTACAAAAACTAATAAATTTTCTCCTAAAAAAATCAATAAAATAAAACATTTAATATAAGAGGTTTTTTTATAATCAGCTTTCAAACTTCTCATAAAAATCTTTCTCAAAATATTTCTTATTTCTTTTCTAATTAGTCTTCTTGCCGTCTTATCTTACTTTTGACTCATTTTCTGATTACAATTAATACATAAAAATGCGGTGTAATCTCTACATATGAAAGATTTACATATTTGGCATTGAGTTTTGGATTTTCTATCCTTTTTAGGGGGGCAGGTGGAACACCTCCCATGAATGTTACTAGGCCCAGCTGATGCCGTTTGATCTGTACTTTCTTCTCTGCCAAGTACTTGAAACATTCTGCTCCGAATGTGTCTGGGCAGAGTCGTAATAGACGACCTCTTTTCTATTTGTGGTTTAACAAGGGATAAAGCTATGTCTTTTAAAAAGTTACGTCTTTCGAGGGATTCTTGATTTATATGCGTTATATTTGCGTTATAAATAACAAACGCATTTATACATCCCACATTCATAAGTCCAAAAAATATTGTTAGTGGCCATCTTTCACTTACTCTTGATTCAGAATATGTACCACACATCTCGTCAACCACGTCCACTCCACATTTATGCATATTATAATCCGTTATCACTTCTGGCTTGCGTTTATCTCCTGTATCAACATCTATTTTCGCATCATGATGTATTGTAGAAACAAGAAGCACCACTTTTCCCTTTCTTGGTGAGTACGATACTAATGTACAATTAGGCTTAAAGCCAAAGTAGGTAGTCCATTCTTCTCGTCCTCGTGTAGCAACAAAGCATGGGGGTATTTCTGGTTTATTTTTACGAAGAGTCTCTACAACCGTAAGCTCATAATCTTCATACAATTCTGTCATCAATGGGATACTCGTGAACCAATTATCTATTACCACGTTACGATGAGACCCTCTTACTTGCTCAACCAAACGTTTCACGACATCTGGTGGAGAGTTACTTACAGCATGTGGTCCTGAATTTTGCCTTCCGAATAGTAAGTAATACCGAATAGTAAGTTCTTGAGTCAGCCATTACAAATATTTTTATTCCGTATTTGGCAGGCTTCTTCGGCATGTACTGGCGAAATGGACAACGACTACGGAATGGCTCCAGTTTTTCATCACTAGTCACTGTATCCCCTAAAGAGTAATGTTTCTTTATAATTTAAACGAATTTGGTAAATAAATCTCTAATTGCAGCCAGTTTATCATTTTGTCTCCTCTGTTCGCGTATATTTGGATCATCAAACCTAAGGCAACGAAGTAAAAAATTAAATCTTTGTCGTGACATGGTAGCTATGCACACGTCTGATCCAGTGCCGACAATTGCCCAAAAATCCATGGTGTTCAAATGCGCTCCACGAAGTTTTCCACAGTAATAATGAAGCCCAAGTAGAGCCTTCAATTCTGACAAATCCGTATGTAAGCAGTCTCTTTTTCTTTGGAAGTTATCGTGGATACTGTCAATATACATATTGGTATATGTCACAACCGTGTCTAAAAGACTGTCAGAGAACATAAAACTACAGCAGTCCAAAGGCGTAAGTGCATCTTTTGCCTCATTAATCAGTCCCGGCGCATGAAATATAATGTTGTGGCTACGAGTACGAACATTTCTAGGGGGTTCCTCAATACTCCAGTTAGTGGAGCCATTTCTACCCACATAGTATCCTTGACGGATATAACTCAGAGGCACATCACTGAGATCAGGTCTTCTGTGTAACATTTCGGCAGAAATATTACCTGCTGAAAAATCTTCGGCCTCAGAATTATCATCATCGCCGCTTTGACTGGAATTTGAGTCGTCATCGTCGATCTCTAAGTTATCTTCAATTTCTGAAGAGACTTCTCCTTCAATACCATCTTCCTCTAGAATTTCTTGAATTCTGTGATCGTCTAAAATATTACGCGACATTTCTGCAAAGAAAAAATAAACTAAAAATATTTTTAAAGAAAAATATTGTATTAAGTATGTATGTATATATATAAGTATTGAGAGTGGGCTCACCACAAAATGTGGCGTAATTTAATGAAATGCATGTCGATTTATTACTTAAATCTCTAGAATACACTGGTGATATTGGTTTTACCGCATTTAACGGGAATACTGAGACATTGACAATCAAACGGCAATCTCATTATAACCTAAAGCTTATATGTGCGACTGTCTAGTAGTTTTTATCGATATTCTATGTTATAATTGGCAGTGTTAATAATAAAAAGTATAAAAAAGTTGTAGGTTTTTCAAAATATTAAATACCAAGTGGACTCTCTGGAACTACTAAAAGAATATTTTTAGTAGTTCCGGAGAAAACAATTCACGAATAAACAGACTGCGTTGATTTATATGTAGCTATAGATTCTAAGTCGCATTATTTATCATGATACCGGTTAGATTTTCATAAATCTTCAGCCTGTTTACTATAGTAAATTGGTATCTTTTTCATGAGTTAAATTACGTTAAAATATTTAGTTGGTTCAAAAACGATTGTCTCCTTTAAAAAGCCTAACAAAAGTCAGCCGGGCCGGATATAGTCTAATTTGGCCTGACACACAACCAAAAAGCCTAACTGTGTGTGGCTTTATCCGGATGCCTGGTAACGCTAGCCACTGCCTTTGACGCCTATTACGATAATATCGTATTTGAATATTCGATTTATTTCGCTCCTAAGTCTTCACTTGTATCGCAAATTCAATGCTGCTCCAGTCGTGGCCAAACAGCCTTATATAGGCCTTTTCCACCGAAACATCCAGAATGTTCCAGCAAATACCGATCCCGACCGACTAGATGTAAAAAATTAGAATGTGGAGTTTTCTAGAAATCTTAAATTTTCTATTCGATACTAGATGACGCTGTTGGTGGAAAGTTCAGGCATGGCAATATATAGAAAGCTCTCCTCGTTCTGCTCCCCGACACTAGATGGCGCCAGGGGCATAAATTGTGGCTTGAAACACTGCCCCCTCCTAAGACATGCTCGTCCCGGGCATTGTCTGCCTCATAGTAATGCGCCAGTCGATCCACATGGACGAATTTAAGAGTACCCCTTGCACCTTTCTGAAACGGCTCCGTAACGTCAAGGGCTGTCTTATTCCATGGTTCAGAAACATTGTATAATGTCCATGCACCTCTACTACGAGGCTGAGGTCCCTTTAGAGATGCACAACTTGTACATTTGCGACACCAATCCTCGACATCGTCATGACAATAGACCCAGTAAAACCGTTCTCGAATCTTCAGTAGAGTTCTTTTAACTCCCAGATGTACTCCTGAATAACCATTATGGTACAGCTGTAGAACATCCGGCACTTTAGCTTTAAGGACAACCATTTGCAAACGATAGCTGTATCCTCGAATATTTCCCATTTATGGCACAGGCTCCATCCTGAATCAGCAAGTCCCAAAAGGCCCAATAGCTTTTCGTGGCCGAACTTATCACTGAGACGTCTCTCCACTTGGGCTTGAACGCACCGGCCTTCATCCATTCCAGAATCGGCTTGATATCCGAATCTTCAGGACATAGTCAGTTCATTCTGCGTAGATCGGAACATAAGTTATAATTGAAAAGTTGAAGGTACTCAGGGTTAACACTGACATTGAAATGTCAGTCCCCTGATCGTAGGTGCTGAAAAGTATCCGAAACGTGAAGGATTAATAATGTAAAATAAACGCGACAAAATCCGTAAAAGTGTTTTAATCAATGGTGTAACTTATTTTTATGTGTAATTATTAAAACTTATTCACATTAAACTACTAAAATAATCGATTTTTTATTTTATTCGTGACATAAATTATTTTTAAGATTTCTCGTGTTCCAGATTGTGAATTGGGTTTTATATTTTGAAATAGAAAAATATTGCATTTTTAAACCATATTTCAAGTTATTACAAATTGGGCCCAGAAATCCCAGTCTACTTTATGTAATTGTTTCACTACACTTGCCCACTACGATCAATAAATAATATAGATAATTAATAAATAATTGTTCTATAAAAACAATAAAAACAACTATAACAAATTTATGTATCGCATATTTTTGTAAAATTTAAGGAGAACGTTTATTACGTAGGTGTTTGATTATATAACACCTAGTGGTAGATGATTGCACTTCCAAATCGTACTGCTTATGCTCAACAATAACATTCCTGCCTAACCAGGGGCCAGGTAGGGTTTTCAGATTTTCGTTGTACTATAAGTGTCTACGTTCAAGATTAACTAGATTGATATCAACCAAATCACCATTAAGTCTCCTAGCATAACTCTTTACCGAGTCCAACTAAAATAACCTTGATACTAGATATTGTAAATTATAATTCGCGCGCGCACCACCCACACACACACACACACACACACACACACACACACACACACACACACACACACACACACACAAACACACACACACACACACATACACACAAACACGCACACGCACACGCACACGCAACCACACACGCACACAAACACGCACGCGCGCACACACACACACACACACACACACACACGCACACGTACACGCACACGCACACGCACACACACACGTACTCGCACACACATACACACCTTTTTACACAAAGAAAGACCTGAGACTAAACTGTTGCTCCAATTTTAGCCATTCGAACCTTACCTACTAAGGATATGAACATTCCCAGTATCAGTACTAAAATTTAATAAAAAAAACTTTTCTTGTATAGAATTAACCGAACTTTGTTCCTCATAGCGGTCCTTATAATTTGCTACATCCCTAGATAGAATTTTTAAAATAATGCCGATTCTAAAGCAAGTTGCCTATCTTCTTAGTTAACTTTTTTAATGTATTTTATGATTTATATTGGAAAAGCGTACATTTGTAGAAAATAGGCTTTACAATTTACATTATGGTTATTATCAATCCAAAGACGAAGGGGTTCCTAATAGATTTCCATTTTCAAATTTGTTTATAGTCTCCAAAATAAGAAACTATATCTATTATAGGAAAAGCACATTTTCAAATGAAAATTGCGCTAGGTTTTTGTTGAGCCCTGTTTGCTCAAAATTGTTTTGTAATATGGCAATGTTATTTTGTCGGTCAATAATTTTATTAGGACATAAATCATGTAACCATATTTTTGAAACATTTCAAAGAAAGTACTAAATATATACTTCAATCATAATATTATCCATCTAAAATAAAGGGTTCTGTTGCGCATATATATAAAATAATCCACTGAGACAAATAAAATTTGGCGGGATAGTTCTTAGAATTGTGCCACTTAGAATGATTTTCTTATAGTTATTCTGTCAACAAATATGATGTAGCTAATGCAACGGATTTTTTTAATTTAATACGCAATTGTAATTAATTTTGAAGTTAAACTTTGTATAAAACGATCTCAGTTGCGTTTTTCACCATTAGCGTATGCTTATAAAGCTAAGTGGAACTACTACAGTACTAACAGATTAAGGAACGTCAGTTTTATGTTTGCCAATCCGCAGTGAAAATAGGCAAGTATTTTAAGACCGCGCGTCTATTGTTGAAAATAGCTATATTCTATAATTGATTTGTAACCGTTGGATAAGAATAAGAGAGAAGTTATAGTGTACAACGCAGATGACAATAGTCTAATTATTGGTTTATGGGTTTTAAATGATCATTTGTTTTAAACTGAGTAGTGCTATTTTTTCATTCTATCGTTTTAAAATTTTGTTCGAAAATGCTAACCGCCATGCTGTTCAGCTCGTGACGTCCCTTATCTAGTAAACAAAGTGATTTTGAAAAGGAATAAGATATTTTTGAAATTTTAATGTTTATCGTTGGTGTGTTGTCACTGAATGCAAAAATACGAGCATAAGAACGCAGTGACAGTTATGGATCCAAGTGCTTAGTGATTTAACTATAAAGAGACCCGATAACTATGTCTACAAAAACTAAACTATACTTCTGTGAAGATAATTTTGATGTTAGTGTGACTTATATTTAAATATCATTATATATACCATATATTTTACATAACTTCGTTTTAAAAGTGTCATTCGAATGGCGGACTATTTGTCCGAGTGATGAATATAATAAAGAAATATTTGACTGAATAAATTTGTAACTAATATATGTAATAGTCGATAAGAGGAATAAAAAATATCATTGATGTCACAGAAGCAGAATACCAAATCACTTTTAGTAGATGGGTATTTAAATGTAAATAATAAATATTCACAGAACATCTTTTAAAAAACAAAACAAAAAATTTGGAAATGAAAGCAAAAGTAATAAAAGCTAAATTCAAAAACATTTCAAAGATGTTCACTTAAAGTGATTATAATATTCAAGATAAAAGCAATAACAAGAGACTTTCTTCGAATCCATTCTTAAATAATGTCTTGAGACGGTCGCCCATTCATATTTGTACTAAAGGTCCTTTAGAGAATTAAAATCCGTAACATCAAAGTAAACGAATCTGTGGAAGTCGTACAAATGTTATATACGTTCTACATCATTCATTTGGTGATAATATTTTAGTTTTTTCTAGTAAACCCCTCGGCTGTCCAAACGCTATCGAGTGATAGCAAATTATTTGTAACACAATGATATATATAACATACATATATATAACATATGTATATATCTACATGATTGATTTTGTCTAAATTTGATTTAAATGTGTTTTTTGTGAAACTCTTTATTTTTTGTCCCGATGTCGAGCTAAGTGAGGCCTTTCTCGACCTTGTCGTAAACAAAAAATATATGAATTTATTTTTATAACTAAATATGCTTTGGACGTACAAGTAAAACAAATAGTACTTAGAATAAAGGCTTCAACTTATAATTATTACACCTTTGCAGAAAATTGGGGAAAAACACTTTTCTTACTTTCTTTTCGCTTTCAAATTAGTATTACTTTCGAAGTAAACCTGTATTCAATTTATACATAATCTGATAC